GGGCGCCAGGCGCCGCGCTCGGGCGCATTTGTACTTTGCCGCGGGAAGCAGGCAGCCCCGGCCTGGCGCTGGCCTAGCACTGGCGCCTCCTCTGGGGCACCGCGGGCTCGGTGGATTGGTCACTCGAGAAACAGGCCCACTTTTTCCCCTCCTCTCTCGTGCAGGTCTCCGGGACCGACGCTCCAGGCGCGGCGCCGAGAGGAGGCGAGGGGGCTGGGGAGGGGGAAGGGGCCACCCGGGCCACGGGTTTTAACCCCTGACTCCCCGCGACGCCCAGAGTGCGGGAGGACAAAACCCAGTTAGGCTTCAGGTGGAACTTTCCGGTGGGGAAGGATGAGATGTCAGGGTCGGAGAGGGGAAGCCAGCTGGAAACCGAGTGGCGCTCAGGTTGGGGAGCTCGGTGGTGCTTGCACAGAACTCAGGCTCTGGATGGAATCAGGACACTTGCTATTCTTGTCTGTTTGTGGCCTTGTCCAGCCCACCTCGGAGCCTGTTTCCCCTTCTCTAAAATGGGGATCTTAATATCTTCAGTATCTTTAATATTTTTAGTATCTTCCCACAATTGTTTGGCTCCTACTTATCATTGCCACCTATTCTACACCAACGAAATGAAATTAGATAATGAACAAACGTCAAAGCACTCAAATCTGGAAAAGTAGGGGTCATAATTCCAGGCTCCTAAAATGTCCTTACCAGTTCCCCCTCTGTACCCACACATGCCATGGCCAGGCTGAAATCCAGCCCAGCTAGACCCTTGGCCTATCCTCTGGAAGTCGTCTTCTGTTTCCCCCATTCCACCCCAAAGCAGGACACAGTCTCTCCTTTGCCTCTGCAAATAAGTCCTGCACTTCTCCAAGAGTGTTGGCATGTTTGGTCCTCCTCAGTAAAAGCTGGCTGTCACAATGCTGTCTCTCCCAAAAGGAGGTGAGCTCCCCAAAGGCATGGCCCTGAGGCTCCCCACCCCCAGCCTGCGGTTGCTGTTTCATACTTTGTGATAAATGACTTTGTGAATTAATAGGATCCTAAGAAGAAAACCACCAACTGTCCAGTCAAGAAACACCCAGACTGAAATCGAAAGGGCAGGGTCCTTGTCCTGGCTCTCTCCCCAACTTGCTGGGACATTCTAGGTAAGTACATCCATCCCTGCTTTAGACAGACGTCAGCTTCCTGAGAGCTTTTCTTACAGAGCTGCTGGAAACTCCAATGAGTGTTGCAGGGGAGAACACTGGGAGTAGTAAGAAATGCGATGGGATCTTGAGATACATCCCATTCTGGTAGAGAATCACATTCCCAGGTTGAAACACTTCTGACTGGCTGTCTGTTAAGATATCTTCCTGGTCTAAGGCTGTGCTCCCCACTCCGCTGTGCTGCCATTCTGTGCCATCCAGAACCGACAGCACTGGGAACAAACAGTGATCCCTGAAACAGTTTTCCCCAAGCTCTCAGAATCAGGGACAAACGTGATCTGCCCCTTAGGTGCCCTTCAGACTTTACTTCTCCATTCCAATCTAGCAAGTCTAGTCCTCTCCCTGTGTGTATTTTAACAGATGATGAAAGCCATGTATGTCATCATGCTTCCCTTTTTGCCTTGGCTTTCAAGGAGCTCAGAGTTAAATTTGGTGCTTAACTGCAGAAAAAAATCTCATCCCAAGAATTGGGGACAAAGATCTTTTCCTTTTTCCACCTTTGTTTAAAGTCTACTACACACATATATTCACATCTTAGGTGTAAGAAGTGGATTAAGATTGGCTTCCCCTACATCCTGCTCATTCTGC